CGTGTTCGCGATACCCGCGTGAGTAATCCCCTGTGCTAAAGGCGCGCAAACGTCAGGGCGTGGCGGGGCGAGGCGGGGCGTGGCGGGGCGTGGCGAGGTGGGGCGGTGTTGGCGGTGCAGCTGCCTTACATGAAGGAAGCTGCTGCAGGCAGGCCGCCGCGCAGCTAGGGACCGCTCGCTGCTCTCCTTCGCGGTCACAAACAAACGCCAAGAGTGCCATGGGCAAGCTGCTTGCTGGCTTTACTTCTGCTGCTGCTGCTGCTGCTGCCGTGTAGCAGAGTTTTCCGTCTGCGACGCCTGCGGTTGTTATTGCAAGTGATTGCCCTTGTCGCGCCGCGTGTCCTGGAGCTAGGAGTACGGCGGCTGCGTGGGGACGACACGGAGAGGGCGGCGCCCCGGCGGCCCGGGGAGGGCCTTGAGGCCGGAGGCGTGTATGTGGTGTGTTCAGTGCTGCCACCCAAACGGGGCGCGCTCCGGAGTTATGCCACTGTTGCCAACAACTGTCCGTGCCAATAGTCGTTTACGTCCCCTGCGGAGGCACACACACTACCAGCCGGGGAGGTGTGTCCCGTCCCCGCGGTACCCGCCGCCGTCTCCCGGCATCGCATCGCACCTCCCGTGCGTCCCGCGCCGCCCCGCCCGGCCCCGCCGCCGTTGGCGTGTTTTCTCTAATGAATCCAACCTTCTGCATGTATCGTCGCTAGCGCCACCCGCGGCAGCGTGCCACCGTGTCGCGGGCGCGGCCGCCCGCCCGATTGAGAAACGACTCCTGACGTCTCCGTTTCACGGAAATGTCCCGCCTTTTGCCCCGTGGCGTGCCGAGTCTAACACTTTTGCTTTTGGTTTCTGCAGGTCCTGGCGGTGGTGATGGCCCTGGCGTCCCTCGCGGCCGCGCAGTCCTTCGGCGACTTCTTCCCCGGCTTCGCGGCGCCCCAGTCGGCGGCCGCCGGCTCCGGGGGACGGTCAAACACGGGTAACGCTGGTAACCCCCCAGGGAGAGATTTTTCCTTTCGACGTCCTCTCTGCGCAGGCGGCCCCGGGCGCGCTGCGGGCCCGGCCACACGCGACGCGCGTCCTTCCGGGCGCCCCGCCGGACCCGCACACGGTCGAGGCCGCCCGCGCAGCAGGGGGACGCAAATCGACCTCGATTTCGTTCCTAATCGATTCGGTGACGATAGAAAAATTTCTCTCTGGGCCACTCTTTCCCGGGTCGCCGGTGTCCCGGCGGCCCGGCTGTGGTCGAGTGTGTATGTGTGTGCACGTGCGTGCCGGTCAGTGTCGCCGCGCTGCCCGCGTAGGATGGGTTGCTTGTCCTCCGGGGGCTGCCCGGCGCCGTCCGGCCCGCTCGCGGACACGCACCGGCACCGACCCGACGACGCCTAACCCATCGCTTTACAGGGGTGATGTCGAGCCCAGCGCAGCGCACCGCCTAATTTGTTTAACTGTTAGCAGGTTGAGTCCTCCTCTACTCCTCTCCCGCACCCCGCCCTGCCGGACAGCTCGGCCACGGCGGCGGAGACCGTTCCGCGCGGACGGTTTCCGCCGAAGTGACTGGGTCGTTTTTCGGCGGGGCGGCGTGTCGGTCCGAGTCGTCTCACCGTCTCCTCTGCCTGCAGGCCCCATTCTCTTCCCCAACACTCCTCCGGGCAGCGAGACTTCCGGTGTAGTCGTGGGGGCGTCCGGCTTCGGCTTCGTGCCTCCGGGCGGACGAGCGGGGGGCGCCAGAGGTGTGTATCCGAGTCTGAACGGCCTGGTGGCGGGGCCAAACCTTAGGCCCGGCCCCGGCCTGGGCCCCGGGCCCCTCGGCACCACCAGCCTGGTGAGCTCGAGCTTCAGGCTGGGGCCGCTGCGCAGCCCCCTAGGGGGGCCTGCACTGTCCCCCCTGGGGGTGCCCGGCCACCTGGGGAGGGCACCGACCACCAGGCTCCGGCCCAGCGTCTCCTACTCCACCACTCACGGCGCGCCCGCCGGGGCCATCCCTTCGGCCTCTCTGGGTCCGCTCCTCTGGAGGCTGCCGGCGGGCCGATCATCCTCATTCCTCTCAGGTATCATGCGTCCGGCCGGGAAGTGAGCCTCTCAGTCCAAACGTTAATGCTGACCATGTTGGTGACCATATCTTTGTGCCACCGAACTACCATTGTGATGGTGTTATTAGTGAAAAGAATGTAGCCACTTCCCGGGCCGCTCCATAAGAACAATGTCCATATTCTTTAAATTTTAAGGTTTAATGTCAAGAATTGTGAAAAGCTGTCTTCAAGCTGTAAATAACCGCTTTTGGTTAAGCATTATTTGAGAATGATAACCATTTACAAAGGTTGTCTTGAGAAGAACAGACCAAGTAAATCAATATAAAAGAACAAGTAACTCAGTTTGATTTCAAATAAAATGTTGACAATATTTCATCTTCTTCAAAAATTAACAAATATTTTTTTTTTTATGAATATGGAATTGCCTGTGGGAGACATTGTCATTGACCATTCCATTTTTCCATTCATTAAATTTCGCCCCTTCACAAAGCAAAATCATTTCAGCAAATTTGCCATATTACATGATTATATCACATCCATTAATCTTGACTTGTAAAGTCATTCTGTCTCCTCGGCAAATGGTTCACGACTTCTTCGATACCCTGTCAAACTTGATGATTCGCATCTCAGCTGCAAGTTAATTGAATGATCTGCCAGATCCGTTCATGGATCAGATCCATCGTGAGCAGACAAAAGGTGTTCTTCTTCCTGATGACCTGTCGCATCAAATAACTTAAGATATTTGTATACTTTTGGTATTGGGTCGAGATGATGTCAGCATGAGATGCATGCTTTCCTTGCTTTCTGAATTACTTCCTGGAGCCTATAACTTTTTCCAGAGTACTCTCTCCCTATCAAACTCATTTCCACACCCTGCTACTCGCTCATCCGGCTGTCCGAGCCCCGCATCTTTCGGAGAGTGACTCTCGTCTCGCCCACGCCAACGCATGCGATGCGGCGGGAGGCGTGGAGAGCCCCCCTACCCCTAGAGCCAGACCCCTTTTCCGGGACGCTTCGCTATCACTGTGACCGCGGCATGCATTAACGCATGGCTTTTGCATACAAGCCTCGCCCCGCGCGGCCCGGCACTGCCTTTCCCGGGCCCGGCCTGCTGGCCCGGCCCTTACACGCTCGGCGGACGCAGCCGCCGACGCTCTTTTGTATGAAGAATGTGCGTGGCATCCGCCCCATTCCTTTTCATTTCCACGGGAGCGCGGCGGCGTTTGATGCGCCGGGCGCCACGAGCAGCGGAGGGATTTGAATTTTAACGATGTGACTGTTTGACGGAGGAGGTGGTGGAGGGGGGGGGGTAACAAAACTGGGAGAAGAGCGCAGCACACAGCAGCCGTGGAAGTAATGTCGCAGGTAGCAAATCGACCTCCAAGGTATGGGGCGGCGCACGGTGCCGGATCAATGGTGAATGTACGCCGGCCGTCGGCCAAGGATCCCGCGAGGGTCTTGAACACCCTTCCCCGGGTCTGCCACGCCCAGGCGCGCCCCGCCACACCCCCCGGCCGCCCGTTGATCATGCGCGTGAGATCGGATGGGTTGCACTGAATCCAAACGCCACGAGTTACCTTCAGATCGACCCTCCCCCCCTCCCTCTCTCCCTCCCAATCTGTTCCAACGCCGCTGCAGCCGTTCAGTCGATGGTCGGCCGGGCCGGGCAAGGCTCCGTTCGTTGCGAAGCACGTTGCCAGCCAGGGAAGGCCAGCGTACATCGGGAGCGTTCTCACAGAAATCGCAGTTGGTTCAAGCTAACGTTTGGCACCGCTCAGACCAAAGGAATTACGTATAAGAGGCCAAAAACCTTTCCGCTGTGTACAAAAGATATTGTCCTCTTCTGAGGTGCCCCCTACCACCTGACGTGTGATAGAATTTAATCAAAACTTGGTTTAATCTAAGAGTCCCCCTCCCCCGCCTTTTTTTTGCTGTTCGCTCTCGACTTCCGCGAAGCACCGCCGCCGACGTGGAGGGTTCCTTCCAAACAAAGTACAGAAAATTAATGCTCGACTTCTGCGATATACAGATAACTTGGATGCACTCAGCACTGACAGATAACGCGGCACGCACAGCGCGAACAAACCAGCAGGAGGGGAAAATCTGAAGCCAGCTGATTGGAAGGGTCACGCGGCTGGGGGAGGGGGGGGGGGGAAGGGACGGAGACAGGCGCTCTGCTGTTATCGCGGTCCTCGTCACGTCCGGGCAGGGGCGTCCCACGGGGACTGGGGCGCGACGCGGGCGGACGCCGTGCAGGCCACGAGGGTCTCGAGCCGCGAGCGCCGCGGGCGCGCCGCCGCCGCCGCCACCCGCTTGCTGCCGCTGCTGCTTGGGCAATCGCTTTGGCTGCATATCGCCAGCCAAGCACAGTCCGCCTACACCGGGCTAGGTAGACCCAGATTTCATTTTCAGTGAATGCCGAGTCGAGTCTCGCGAGCCGAGCCGCCGCCGCCGCCGCGCTGTTGCCCCGCGCACTGCGCAGCACAGTCGAAGGTAGCGCGGCGTCGGCGTGCCGCCCTATCGAACGAACCCCAGGCAGAGCTATCTAAAGAGCGATACATCTGCGGCTGCTGCTGCTGCTGCTGCTGCTGGAATCGAAATAACGGCAATAATCGTGGAATGGCCATTTACATCGACATTTCACGGCTCTGCTCAGCTCAGCTCATTCCAAGGGCGTTGCCCACCACTACTCTGGCTGCCAGTACTTGGCGCGCCATTCTCACGTTCCAGGGAAGAGGGATGGGGGAATCGGGATTTGGGATGGGAATAAAACGGCAGACTTCTGTAAATAGTCTCTAGTAGTGTGCCTGATTACTTAAGTGGTTGGGGTCTTAATCTATCAAAATACTCACGTGCTTGTTGACTTACTTTAATCCGGGTTTTTGCAGGCAACAGCGCGTCGTTCACGAGTGGCAGCTTCGGCAGCGACGACTACCTGTAATTCACCCGCCAAGCCGCCGTAGTAGTCCTCTGGTTCGGCCTCACCTCCGTCACCTTCGTCGAGGACTCCTCCAACTTTTTCTGGATCGTCTTCGTCCTCACGAGCAGCTCTACGATTAACGCGAGGCCCCATGGGACTTCCCTGTGCCACCTGTGATTTCTCATCATGCAGACCAGATATTAATGGAGCGCGATCAAGTTAAATGTAAAGTGGACGTAAAGCAGCATTCGGCACCTGACCTTAACTTTATTATGTTTTGAGAAATGTTTATACAGTTTAAACTGATCTGTTTAAAAAAGAGACAGGTTGTGTTTCACCGCTCAAAGTTTCTTCCTAAACTGCAAAACGATTGAGAATACTACACTGTGGATTTTTTCCTCTCTTTTGTTTTGTTGAGATCACATATCAAAATGTTACCATTGTACAATAGAGTAGTTGGTTGCATCATATTATAGTAAACCTCTTGTGGTGCCATGCAAACTTGCTACTTACATTGGACCCCTGCCCACTGTTTTTCTATATGCTTATTATTATTATGTCATTGTTAGTCTTTGAGGCTGAATTCTCATGTTGAGAGACTTGATGTGTGTATCAAAGCTCTCAAAGACTGTTACCAAGTCTAAGGCTGTTTTGTCTCGATATATTGCCATTTACTGCGACCATTCCCATTTCAATCAGTCGTTATTTATAATTATTTATATTCATACATTAAGAACAGAGTGAATGAACCATGTCTTCGCCTATCGGGTTAAAAGCACCAAAACATTTTCGCGTGTGAGATGATCTAGAATACCATTGTTGATGTATTGCCTTTTGACATGTCCTCAATTTTAATTTTTTTCTCAACCTTTCAAAATAAAAACCTTAACTTTTGGGGGTTTTCTTTCTTTTTTGAAGTTACTCATAAATGACAACGGGTAATTTTGTAGAATGGAGACTAACGTATCGCTCGCGTTTTGTTTCGAGGAGTGTCATAAGGCCGAAGTCAGTCGTCTTTGTTAATATTATTATGCAGGATAGACATTGACAACCGTTTTGCCTATCGATAAGAAAGTCGCCGATTTTATCGGATTGCGTACTTTTGTACATAATGCATGTATTTACTTGTATAATACGAATGTTTGTGTGGTGTGTGTATGTGTGTGTGTGTGTGTCTTCCTCTGATTGTATCTGTGAGTGTGTTTGATAGATCTTTTGATTTTTAATTAAAGAAATATATATTTAAGCATCAACGCGTGTTTTTACACATTTATTCCCACCCACTCCTCCTAATCCAACACTTTCAATGCTGCATATCGCTAAGCTATATGACACATGAAGACCGACTCCGCGAAGTCGTAGTAAGGTGGGAGGAACTTCCCCTTCCCTTCGAGCTGGGGAGCACTTACGTAAGTTACCCCTATCCTCCCCGCAGTAAGCGCGCTGAGATCCTCCCGTCTGACACCGCGCACCCGACTTGAGGAAGGCGGCCTAGAATGCCCCGATACACGCCCAGGCCCTTTGCCTTCACATCCCCTCAGCAGACTTAAAAAACCTCACGCTTCTGTCACGGCGTAAATAAACAAAAATGCGCGGCAGAGCAGGGCATACCGCTGACGCACCCGAGGCGCGTATCCGCCCCCCAGGTTGGCCACCCTGTGTAACAGCGACGTCATTCTCCGCAGTGTCGACTCGCTTGTGATGGCTGTCACACAGAACAGCTGTACCCCCTGCCCTGCTTTGCCTGGGTCCGTCCGTGCCTCTGTGTCTGTGATGGTGTTGTGACTTGTGATTCATGCAGCTTCTCGCTCTCGCGCTCGGCTCTTACCTCCTCGCCGAGCCTCTGACCCCCGCCGGCTGGATGCTCCCCCCGCTCCGTTCTGCTCGCGTTGGTTGGCGTTGCTTCTAAATGAGCGGCGACGAGTCCTTAGTGGACACCTCCTACCCGACCGACAGGATCAACAGTTCGTCTGCTCCGCTGTCACTCGACAGCCTAGACGATCACGCCTTCCAGGACGGCGTCACTTTCGCCCCAGGCTCCAGTTTACTTGGAACAATTGATTCGCCATTGATAAACCGTGAGAGCCAGCCCCTCCTAGGTCGTATGGACCTGGAGGGCTCGCTCAACAATTTTCCAGGTAACCTCACTCACTTGTGTTATGTAACTATCATTAAACTGGCGCTGTTACGCACCTCAGAAAGGTGTGGTCAGTTATGATAGACAAGGCTTTTTCAGCTGTCAGAGTATTTGTTTTCTCATTAGCAAAGTTTTCTTCGCTTATGATATGACCGCAGCAACTGTCAATTTTTAACAAGCTCTTACAACCTTGAACCCCAAAGTTAGTAATATTTGCACTAATTTGCTATTCTTTTGCACTTATCTACACCAGTTGACAAATTTTAACTGTTTGTGTATATCCTGTGTCATGCAATGTTGGTGCAAAGTGGACTTTTTCATGTTTGTATCTTTATCAAAGACGATTTTTTTTTTAACCTATTCTATTAATTTACTGTCAGGTAATTTGTTACTGACCAATTTTCATAGAAAATCGATCTCACTTTAATTTTGCTGTCTTAAATGTCTAGTTTGAGTACCTAAGCTAGTTATGTAATAGTTTTATGTTTTTCAAGATACCTATGCTTTCTTTTGAACTCATACATCAACTTATGTTTTTAATGTAGATGACCCAAAATTTGCGGAACTGGTTCGACAAGCAGAAATGGCAATTGATAATGGTATCTACCCAGAAAGAATCTATCAAGGTTCCAGTGGATCATATTTTGTCAAGAACTCAGCAGGGGTAAGTTCAAGAGAATTTTCCAATTTTTCCTTTGCTCTATGGCTGCTAATAAAACACTTGAATCTTGAATTTCAGCAAGTCATTGGAGTTTTCAAGCCTAAAGATGAAGAACCTTATGGAAGACTTAATCCTAAATGGACAAAATGGATGCATAAGCTGTGTTGCCCCTGTTGCTTTGGAAGGTCATGTCTAATACCAAATCAAGGCTATTTGTCTGAGTCAGGGGCCAGTCTGGTTGACCAAAAGTTGGGTCTTAATGTTGTTCCTAAAACGAAGGTAGGAATATTATTGAAGGGTCAAAAAATATGTTTTACTTAATACAAATTTGATTAAATTTATTTTTTTCCTGACAGGTTGTAAAACTAGTTAGTGAAACTTTCAATTATCGTGGCATTGCAAGGCAAAAAACAAAAGTGAAACAAGTTGTCATGGACCGTGCACCATGGATAGGAAGACGTTTCAACAGAATAGGTCTACCTCCTAAGGTAGATTAACTAATAAAAAAGCCAACAATTTTTCTTCTTAAGCTGTATGAAACAAGACATTTTACCTTATGTTCTATGTTTCAGATTGGATCTTTACAAATGTTTGTGGAAGGTTTCAAGGATGCTGATTACTGGTTACGGCGTTTTGAGACTGAACCTCTGTCTCCCAAGCTTCAAGCTGAATTTCAAAATCACTTTGAACGTCTCGTGGTTCTTGATTACATTATACGTAATACAGACAGAGGTAATGATAATTGGTTGGTAAAATATGACCAGCCCAGTGTCAATTCACGTGCAAGTTCAAGAGGAGGCGGAGAGCTCGAAGATGCAACGGTAAATATAATAAATACAAAGTGAAAAAAAAATAAAATAGATGAGACTCTTCTCAAGTTTTTCTTCCTGTTACAATCAACTCCTTTTTAATTCAACTTTTGAATGTTATCCTTGTAGGAATGGAATGTTGTCCAGCTTCCTCAGATATCCATTGCTGCCATTGACAATGGATTAGCCTTCCCTTTCAAACATCCAGACTCTTGGCGAGCATACCCATACCATTGGGCATGGTTACCCCAGGCCAAAGTTCCTTTTAGTCAAGCAATCGGGGACCAGCTTCTTCCACTTATTGGGGACATGAATTATGTGCAGGACTTATGTGATGACCTGTATCTTCTGTTCAAAGTAAGTGTGCTGAAGTAAAGTTACTTGTGTTCATACTTGTTTTGCTAAATTTTAATCTAATGATAATTACTTTTGCCTTAACAGCAAGACAAAGGCTTTGATCGACATATGTTTGAGAGGCAAATGAGTGTGATGCGAGGGCAGATTCTAAATCTGAAACAAGCCCTCACTGATAGAAAAAGCCCAGTGCAGCTAGTGCAAATGCCATCTGTTATTGTAGAGAGGTAGGTCTTACAACCTTAAATTTTCAACCCACCAATGAATAAACTCTCATGTTATTTCTAACTATCATGTTATTACAGACAAAAAGGTCATGTTGGAACAACATCCCGGTTCAGGTCATTCAGTGACACATTTACCCAACGCGTCCACATGAAGAGCCCTTTCTTCTCCTGGTGTTGAGTGCATGATGACCAATCTGTCTTGAGACTGCAATTTTGCTCATAGTTTCTAAGAAGGACCATCTATCTCAGATGGACTGTGAATGACTACTGTACTTGATGTGGAATGCCCTGTTGTTGTTTTAAAATGAAGCCAAGTGGTTCATTTTGTTTTGTAAGGATTGTGAGTTAAAGTTGTTTCGTTTTTTATAAACTTTTTGAAATGTATTCTTCATTACTCTATGATTTTAACTGATTTAAAATGCGTACCATTGAGTTTTAATTGCTTTTAACTGTTACAACAGTATATTATACCATTTGTTTACGTACATGATGTACGTTTTTGCTGCCTATCTACCTATCTGTAGTTTGAATTTTTTTCTTCATTTTTCATGGGAATCAAATAACTTACGTTGCAGGCATTTGATTTGTTTCAACTTTAGATTCAACCATATCACTCATAGGTAGTCAATGAATTTTTTCTATGTTGTGCTGTGAAAGATACTGATGTGCTGATTAATCTACAAGGAATTAATGGAGCTACATGTTGACATCTAATATTATTTTCTTTGGCTGATTGGGAAAAACATTCCAGTCTTTCTTTTTTTAATTTGGCACTCTTGTGAATAGTGCACTTTAAGTTCATTATTAATTCTGGAATGTCCCAATGAGAGGTTGTCATTCCTTTTAGGGCTCTGTTAGCCAAATTAATTTTTACCAAAAGTGATAACATGATAAATGTAAATGAATCTAATATGTAGTTAATCAGCCAGGATTATATTTTGAAAAATATCCTCAATCAAGTTTTATGTGCAAAGTGAAAACCACTCATAGAGTCAGTTTTTTTCTTACTGCTATCTGCTATTTAGATTTTAGCCTTTCAAAAAAGAATTTACTTCTGGCTGGTTACACTGTACTTTTAAATTAAAAATTGTATTTAAAATGTGATGCAACTCCTTTGTGATATAACTTCAAGTCAAACATTTAAAATACACTATCTAAAACTTCATCTTTCCATTGATTGATCTACTTTTCAGTCACTCCTGTTTTCCTTTGATTTATTTCAAGGCGCTGTTGATATATTTTAATACCCCCAACCTTTTAAGAGGTAGCTAAACTTTGATCAAATTATGTGACTGTAATATTTGCTATTTCACATGATAAAACTAAAACATGAACAAATCAAAAATACCTAGCTCAGCAAATTAACACGGTCCTTGGGGCTGTGCGTCTTGGGCTTTGGAAAAACCAGCACCACTGTGTTAATAAGTCCTGGCTTCAATCAGTGAAGTTACTGTAACTTTATTTTCTACAAAGGCTGCATTTCTGTTTTCAATGTTGTCCATTTTTTTTCAACAAAAAAAGAAAGAAAGAAACTCTGAACTTGAAGCAGTTTAGTTACTTCTTTTTCTCTTGAGTCTTAGAAGTGTATCAGATACCGCATATTAGACTTTCCACTCCACTCCTCTTATTTTCTTGAGGTTTGTTGTACATCTCTTTCGTACTACCTTACCAAATTTAGTCACAATGAACTTAAACAAGACTTTGAAGCTTTTACTGTTATGAATATTGAGTCAACTATTAGTCAAAGTTTGTTCAATCACTGTTACCAAAGCTAATATTTCTTTTTGTTTACACTTAAGTGTAAAACTGACATTTCTAAGCATGTGAAACCTTACATTGCTCGTAAACTTAGAAAGGCATTGCCTGACTCGTCTGCATTTGTCTAATCTTCTTGAAGTGACCTGTGAGCCATTCTTGTCAAGTCTGCAAATGCAGATTCAGTTACGTAAACGCCAGAACAGTGTCTGATCTGACCCTTCAGACATTATTATTCTGGCATTGAATGTGGCTATATTTTTATACACCGTTCCGTGTACTGGTTTATAATAAATATGTCTTCAATAAAAAATGATCAACAAAAGAAAAGTGGCAATTCATCGTTGCAGTACAGTTTGAATGAACTGTTCCCAAAGGTTTCTCCATTCTTGTTGGGCCTACACTCCACGACATATCTCAAATCTCGCGGTCTTTTCGAGAGTGACTGGTCGGGTCGAGTTCAAGCGCTCTCTGGCGGTGATGGCTGAAACCACTATACCGGCCGGCTGTCGTCTGTTTCTGAGTTCGTATGAAAAACCAAACCAAATAAAAACACGGTGCTTTTGACAACTGCTATCATTTATACTCCTGGAATTGATTGATTTTCGCAAGGCACCATGCCGTCTCGCTTACGGCAGGAAGACGCTATCGACGCCGCTTCAGGTATACTAGCTTTGTAGTACATGTGTATTGTAAACAATTTGTGATTAAGTACTTAGTTGACTTCCATAACCTAGACACAAACATTATTCTGTTGAGAGATTGTGTGTTGATGGTTACACTAAGTAGCTGGTCATTAAGACCTTTACTTAACCTTGTGATTCGTCGTACTCGTTGTAAATGTTTCTTTTCCTCTTATGGCAATAGCACTCATGATCCGAATGCGTCCTTTTCATTTTCAGGGTCGGGCTCAGACTCTGATTCTGGAGGCTCCTCTGGCTCCAGTCGCAGCAGCAGTCGCAACTCTGGTCCCGCTTCACGAACAGCTTCACCTGCGGGTTCACCCCGCTCGACCGCTCGCTCCCGTACTGGCTCTCCAGCTGGCTCTGCTCATTCAAACGCAGGCTCACCTCATTCTGCTCATGGATCACCACAATCTAGACCTTCAGGGAGCCCCGTTTCACGAGGATCTGGTAGCCGAGCTTCTCGCAGATCTGGCAGTGCTGTTTCAAACAGATCGGGAAGTGCTGGATCACATAGATCTGGAAGTGGTGGTTCTCGCAGATCTGGAAGCGGTGGTTCCCATAGATCGGGTAGCGCAGGTTCTCATAGGTCTGGTACTTCTAATAAGTCTAAAAGCCCAGCATCCCACAGATCAGGCTCTGCTACATCTCAGAGATCGGGAAGCCGAGCCTCTCGGAAATCAGGGAGTCCAGCTTCTCACCGTTCTGGCAGTGGGTCCAGACACTCAGGCAGCCCTGCTGGCTCTCATCACTCTAGATCACGTAGTAGATCTGGTAGTAGGTCTTCCAAAAGGAGTGGGAGTAGAAGTCGCAGCCGCAGTGGTAGCAGGAGCCCAGCCAAAAGTGGTAATGCAAGCCGCAGCAGGAGTGGAAGTAGAAGTAGAAGCAGGAGCAGGAGTAGAAGTAGGAGTGGAAGTCGAAGCCGTAGTGGGAGTCGAAGCCGAAGCCGAAGCAAAAGTGGGAGTAGGAGTCGGAGCCGAAGCAAGAGTAGAAGCCGGAGCCGGAGTAAAAGTGGCAGTCGAAGTAGATCTCCAGCGAAGTCAGGTAAAGAAAAGATATATTTTACAATAAAATATTCCTTGCAAATCAATCACCTTGATAAACCAAGTCCTGAGATTTTGAGGGCTTCAGGAACTCTTCCAAGATTTAATATAAATATTCAGAATGTATACTACCCCTCCCTCCCCTCTTCCCCCTTTTCCTGAGAAGGTCCTAATAGCATTCAAACAGTATTCGAAATTCCAGACCTTGGTTTACTGTGTGCTTTGGTTCTAATTACTGTTCCAATAACATTCATTTTAACGCAAGGTTGGTTCAGGAAAATGCTAAAAAATCTTGAATTTCATCTTTTAATCAGGTGGTAAGGGCTCTGGTAGTGAATCGGATGCAGGCAGTGATGTGGTAACGTGAGTAGAAATATACATGTTAATATTTCGTCTAGAAATCAGAGGGATCATTATACTCTACGACATTGTCATTTTCCAGGAAACGAAAGCGCCAAGTCCTCAGTGACAGTGGCTCTGATGTAGATGTGAAAAAGAAAAAGAAAACTGTTGGATCTGACAGTGATAGTGGAGGAGAAGCTAATGGTAAAGACCTTAAATCTCTCCATTTTTGTTTTGATTAGCTTTATTAAAAAAGCACACACCTAAAGTTAAATTAACTATGCTCTTTGCAGTTGATGCTGAGGCTTTGTTTGGTGACGCTGATGATATAAGTGATGACGATGAAGATGATAAGAAGTCAAGTAAAAGATCTGACGATGGTGGTAGGCAAACTCCTATGAGTGAAGGAAGTTACCATAGTCCTCGTAGAGGATCAGATGATGAAACTGAAGAGCGTCGGCCAATGCCAGGGGAAGCAGTAAGTTGATAATGGTTGATTTAGAGCTGCTTTAAGACATCATTCCATCTTTCAATTCTCTGTATTAGTTTGCCAAGATGCATTGCCTAACTATTTGTGCTTATTTGTTCACAGCCTGAGGAGGAAGAAAAGGAGAAAGATGAACCACCACCAGAAACAATTATTGATGTGGAGATTCCCAGAGTTGTTTGTGATCTGGGTAGAGAAATTAATTTTGTCAAGCTACCCAATTTCCTCTCTGTTGAGACAAGACCCTTTGATCATGAAACATATGAAGATGAAATTGATGAAGAAGAAACTCTTGATGAGGAAGGTAGAGCCAGGTAAGTAATTTCCAAAAATTCTCAAATGTGCTCACGATTCTGTTTGCTTCATTATTTATTTATTTTTAAATTACAGATTGAAATTGAAGGTTGAAAACACCATTAGATGGAGAGATGAATTTGACAAAGATGGGAATGTTGTCAAAGAAAGTAATGCTCGTTATATCAAATGGAGTGATGGCAGTCTCTCACTCCATCTTGGTTCTGAAATATTTGATGTTTACAAACAGCCACTTCAGGTTTGTTTTTGTAATAGATTTTAATACCATATTTAACTCTTTTTTTAATCCTTTTCAATAACATATCTTATTTGTATTATTCCAGGGTGACCATAACCATCTTTACATAAGACAAGGAACTGGCTTGCAAGGGCAAGCTGTATTCCGCACTAAACTTACATTCAGGCCTCATTCAACTGACTCATTCACCCACAAGAAGATGACATTATCCTTGGCTGATCGGTCTACAAAAACGAGTGGAATTAAAATTATGGGTGTTGTTGGGGCCGATCCGGATGCTAACAGATTTGAAAAGATTAAGGTATGAAAGTCTATGATGAGCTATAGCCATGATCCTGTTTAACATTAAAGTTATTAGTACTGTATTACCATATGATATTTTCTTCACCTTTCAGAAAGAGGAGGAGAGACTTCGAGCATCACTACGTAGAGAAAGTAAACAGAAACGCATGCGTGAGCGAGGAGCTAATAGGGGGTTGTCTTCTAGCTACTTGGAGCCAGATAGGGAAGGTGAAGATGTCTCAGATGATGAAGGGGCCATTTCCCTGGCAGCTATCAAGAATAAATACAAACCTGGGGCAAAAGGAGCCAAGAGTAAGTTTAATAAACTTTTTTATACAATTGAAAAGCTTGTTGTTTCAATTTAATACCATGAATATATGTCTTTTCCAGATGACAGGCCAAACATCTATTCTTCTGAGGAAGATGAAGGTTCAGATCTGGACCTTCGTAGAAGCAAGAAGGACAAATCCAAACATACTCTTAAAGATTCTGATGAAGAAAGTGCAGCCTCTGGAAAATCTGGTGCAGGATCAGGTTCAGGAGGATCCAAATCAGGTTCAGGCTCTGGAAGTGGCAGTGGCAGTGGTAGCGAAAGCGATTAGAAAATTTTGGGAATGTCACATGCTATTCGGCTATGTATTAAATCATATTAATTAATTAATTTCACACTCTAAATGTATTTTTTTTTTAAGAGGTGTGATTCTGTTATGCTGTAAGTAGTTCCCTTTCCCTCTCTTACAACTGTATTCTAAATACTGTTGCATGAAATAAATCTGTAAATAATTTATTTGTTTTGCTTTGTGTGTGAACCTCGATGATAACGAATTTTCAGGTTTCGTTCAACCAAACCAATGATGGTATGTAACCACTACGCCGTAGAACCCCCCCCCCCCCTCTCCTTTTACCCCTAAACCCTGACAAAAATAAACAATAAAAATGGGGGAGTACGCCCTTCCCAACGCAGTCTTCGGCGTCTCCTGTGGCTGGAGTGGGAACAGCCGCTTCCAATACCACAGTGGTCGGAACATAGTCCCGGGGATACTGAGAGGGTTGACCCGTACGTTGTTGGTTAAACTGTGCTGACTGACCCATCACAGGACATGGAGCTCCGTTACAGTCAGATTCTTAGGTCTTATAAACGCGCCGGCCACCACAGCAAGGTGCCAGGAAAATGGAACCGCGTGGTGCAAGTCGAAACCCAGCCAGGGAACTCCCACAGCCCGCCTTTGCCGTGAGTCGAACCCCTGTCGCAGAGCCGAGTCATCCGACCCGACTATAGAACATCCTTTTTCGGGTAATATGAAATCCGAAGCCTTCAGGGTGGAAGCAGAAGGCTAGGGCCTATTCTGCACATAATCCCTGACAAGCCGAAAGGGCCTGGATTCATCTAAACTAACACAATAGGGCCAGGGGCCTCCCCAAGCCTAAGGGAAAACTTGTGTTCTGATTGCCTACCCTCCAGGCGCCCTCGGCCACAACTCGCCCCATGTTGTGTTAGTTCAGATGCATCCGGGGACTTTGGGCTTGTCAGGGATTGTGTGCGCAGAGCAGGCCCTTGCCTTTTGCTTGCACCCCGAAGGCTTCGGATTTCATATTGCTGTGATATGGCAATTTGGGGAAAAATTTGTTGTCTACAGTGCAGTCTCCTAAAATTGCCATATTGAAATTTTGAGTTGTATGCTGCTTTTAAAAGGAATGTATGCTTCTCCATTATTTAACAGTTTTTGGAGTTTTGTAAAAAAAAAAATAATTCAGTTTAAAATATCAGTCTTGAATTATTTATTGTCTTTGTCACTTTGGTAATAAAATAAAATGTTACTCAATTTCAAAAGTCAAATGTTGCAGCCGAATTAAAAATTCCAGTCTAAATATTACACAATGATTACGACAAATACTTTGGCATATTGAATATCACGTGAAGCATAATAGATGAAATCTAGTCTTTTAATAAGCTCTCAACAGGTACTTTACTGAAAATGTTGTTGGCGATGTTCAGGAAGACGTCAGCCAGCTTGAGGCGCAGCTCAGGCATCATTGCGTCAAGGACCAAGTGTCCACTTGACCGCAGGAGGAGGTTGGTGGCTTGAGCTGCAGACGAAACAGATTGTGTAAGCAGGGACAAGACTTCCTTGAGAGGCGTAAAAAACTCTTTAAAATTTTTAGTAGAAAATTTAACAAGTAAATACTTCAGTTTTGTGCTTTGGTATCAAGAAATTTGCTAGTATTACACTTTCAGTACCAGGATAAAATAAGTTTAGTAATTATAGTACTAGGGAAACGTTTAGTAATTACATAAATAGCCCACTATAAAAAAGTTTAGTTATACTAAAGCATTTCTTGCAAATATACAACAGCACAAAACTGTAGCAGTTACGAGGAAAATTTTCTGGTAAAATGTTTAGAGTGCATCAGCAAGCTCACCAATGATGGGGTTCTCGCCGGGCCCCCGCTCGATGCGCATCTTTACGTCGCGGACCTTGAGGTCCACGTTGAGCCTGTCGACGTGCACGAAGTTGGCGCGCTGCACGCCCCGGTCCACGCCCGCGCTGGTGTGCGCCGTGCCGCGCAGGTGGGCGCGCACGCTCCCGAGCGAGCCGTACAGCGTGCCGCGGCCGGAGGCGGGCACGATGATGAGCACGCCCGAGCTCGAGTAGTTGGCGACCAGCGACAGCTCCGCAATGGCCACCTCCAGGGAGAAGACGCCGGCGTTGCCGAAGCTGCGCAGCAAGACGAGGCCGAGGTAACAAAGTGTCGAGCCTCGAGGACTGGACGGCATGGCTGCGAGGAGCTCGAGAGTGCTCACCTCAAGTCGCGGACGGTGTAGTTGCTGACGCCCGTTACGTCCATGTCGCGCAAAGTGATCCTGTACCCCTTTGGACCCTCGGTCAGGGAGAGCGACAGCTCCGACAGGCGGAAAGGCTCCGTGGAGGGAACAGATATTTCCGGGATACCTATGAATAAATACAATCTATTGTATAGGTACTCTTTGATTTGGACGCCGAGCTCAAGAGTACACACCGCAGTAAACAACCGCATCATGTACGAACCTTGTGCCAACCACGGCCTGATGTGCATGAGGGCCTCCACGTAGCACGCGTTTAGCTTAGGGTCGCGGCGGCTACATTGATGAATATAACGGGGAACTGTTAAACGAAAGAGAAGCCTATAGTGATAGTGCCAACAGCAGTCGTCCAGCCAGGGTCTGTTCCCTTCGAGGTCGGGGGTTTCTGTCTCTCTTTTCGCCCGACTCTAGGCCGGTGGACCGAGAAAAATACTGACTTCCCGTCGATCTCGAAGTGAGCATGAGTATAGACCTTCTGAGCAGCTTGGAGCGGATGAGCAGGCAACGCCCAGATTTCTCTTAAAATCGGACGCAATTCAAAAAACGATAAACACTTGCAGCTAGATTTTGTTTCGCTGAATCCGAAAATGTAATCACTTTTGTCATTCAACGATGTATTTCGGCGTATATTCGATTATAAGTGACTAACCCCGGCGCAACGGCTTGCGGGCCAGGCATAGTCACTTATAATCGAATATACGCGAAAATACATCGTTGAATGACAAAAGTGACTACATTTTCGGATTCAGCGAAACAAAATCTAGCTGCAAGTGTTTTTCGTTTCTTGAATTGCGTCCGATTTTAAGAGCTATCTCGAATTGTATTCAGTCAGTCTGCGACGTTGCGCGCCGAGCGGCTCAGAAGGTCTACAACTATTTGCCTAGCAAAATCACAACACAGTCTCATGTACTTACGCTGTTCCCCCGTGTCTGCACCACTCAGTCCAGGAAGGAAAACAACAAGGAAAAGAAGTGAAAACATAGTTGTAAAGCCCCTCTGTTTTGAGCTGCTCACTTCCTCAGTCTAAGCAGCAACGACGACACACAATGAAAACTCTTTTTACTAAGCTTCGGGTCAATCTGCAACAGCAGCGGCTGTCAAATGCCCAGGGCAGGTCGGTGTCGGGGTGTCGGTGTACGCGACGTGACGGGATGGACCGCACGACTCGACTGGATGCTGGGGGGAAATCTGAGCGGGCTTCGTCACCTCACCGCTAGATGGGGGTGGAGCACAGGATCGGGGGCAAACCCCCCCCCGCGAGCTGCCGCCGCTGCTTTTGTTTGACGTGCTCGCCTCCCTGTAAGGATACGGCCGTGCCGCGGTACCCCCCCCCCCCCCTCCTCCTTTCTCCGCCGGCAGTTAACTCCCTGAAGCAAACACAGGTGTCTGTGTGTTCATGGAAAATGAATGTTGATGCGCCCCAAAACTCCGCTTAGCTTTGAGTGACTAGTAACTAGCTTTGCGGGAAAGGGCCAGTAAGGGGGCCATTTGTGGCAGACACAATAACAAGGGACCCGAAGCCTGGGCTCTCCTGTGTTGGGCCAGTCCACACCAGCTTAGCTGAAACAAAAGATAATTTATCATGACAAATCAGGTCAACAGATATAAAATACTGAAATCTTGATCAAAGCATATGGAGAACATGATTTTCCTTATTTACTTAGATGAAATCATCATGTAAAAGTTTAAGTGTCCTCGGCTTACAAACTCGTTTAACTTTTCAGGCTGCTCGTCTGGTCTCATCTAATACTTACGTCTGGTTTATTACACTTAGACCCAGACATAAGACTGAGTGATTTCTGATACGTCTCACAAGTCTCTATAAATGATGACGATTCTGGTCCACCAGAGACACAAAACCACACTTCCATAGGATTATTTATTATTTATTTCCACAAGTTAAGGTGATTCAATTATTTCTGAATTTATTATACCATCTCTTGGGCACTCATCCGCAGAGTTTTTTCTTGGTTCATCTCGCTCACCTGAAATAGAATAACATACAGTCAGGTCAGGGCATTATCTTTGTCACTTTGGTAATAAAATAAAATGTTACTCAATTTCAAAAGTCAAATGTTGCAGCCGAATTAAAAATTCCAGTCTAAATATTACACAATGATTACGACAAATACTTTGGCATATTGAATATCACGTGAAGCATAATAGATGAAATCTAGTCTTTTAATAAGCTCTCAACAGGTACTTTACTGAAAATGTTGTTGGCGATGTTCAGGAAGACGTCAGCCAGCTTGAGGCGCAGCTCAGGCATCATTGCGTCAAGGACCAAGTGTCCACTTGACCGCAGGAGGAGGTTGGTGGCTTGAGCTGCAGACGGAACAGATTGTGTAAGCAGGGACAAGACTTCCACGAAAAGCATAAAAATCACTCTTTAAAATTTTTACTAGAAAATTTAACAAGTAAATACTTCAGTTTTGTGCTTTGGTATCAAGAAATTTGCTAGTATTACACTTTCAGTACCAGGATAAAATAAGTTTAGTAATTATAGTACTAGGGAAACGTTTAGTAATTACATAAATAGCCCACTATAAAAAAGTTTAGTTATACTAAAGCATTTCTTGCAAATATACAACAGCACAAAACTGTAGCAGTTACGAGGAAAATTTTCTGGTAAAATGTTTAGAGTGCATCAGCAAGCTCACCAATGATGGGGTTCTCGCCGGGCCCCCGCTCGATGCGCATCTTTACGTCGCGGACCTTGAGGTCCACGTTGAGCCTGTCGACGTGCACGAAGTTGGCGCGCTGCACGCCCCGGTCCACGCCCGCGCTGGTGTGCGCCGTGCCGCGCAGGTGGGCGCGCACGCTCCCGAGCGAGCCGTACAGCGTGCCGCGGCCGGAGGCGGGCACGATGATGAGCACGCCCGAGCTCGAGTAGTTGGCGACCAGCGACAGCTCCGCAATGGCCACCTCCAGGGAGAAGACGCCGGCGTTGCCGAAGCTGCGCAGCAAGACGAGGCCGAGGTAACAAAGTGTCGAGCCTCGAGGACTGGACGGCATGGCTGCGAGGAGCTCGAGAGTGCTCACCTCAAGTCGCGGACGGTGTAGTTGCTGACGCCCGTCACGTCCATGTCGCGCAGAGTGATCCTGTACCCCTTTGGACCCTCGGTCAGGGAGAGCGACAGCTCCGACAGGCGGAAAGGCTCCGTGGAGGGAACAGATATTTCCGGGATACCTATGAATAAATACAATCTATTGTATAGGTACTCTTTGATTTGGACGCCGAGCTCAAGAGTACACACCGCAGTAAACAACCGCATCATGTACGAACCTTGTGCCAACCACGGCCTGATGTGCATGAGGGCCTCCACGTAGCACGCGTTTAGCTTAGGGTCGCGCCGGCTACATTGATGAATATAACGGGGAACTGTTAAACGAAAGAGAAGCCTATAGTGATAGTGCCAACAGCAGTCGTCCAGCCAGGGTCTGTTCCCTTCGAGGTCGGGGGTTTCTGTCTC